TCTAAGCTCAGCCATTTCGGCTCTCGGCGACTCAACAATGCTGCGCGTTTCGGCATTCTTCTTCCTAAGCTGATTTAGCTCCACTAGACCTTGCATGCTCTGGCGCAGATACCCCCGTTACCTCTCCACCTCCTTCGCTGCGCACCCGGTCAGCCCAGGTGCCACCCCGCATCTCGGGTTGGGGTGGGCCTTGGGAACGGACTGTGCCATGCTGGGTCCCTAGACCAGCTCCTCGAGTGTGACGGGCCTCTAGATTAGGACCGACGACGATCTCTGGACCGTGACTTGGCTCGGCCTTTAGACGACGTTCCATTTCACTGGCCTCAAGAGCGACTTCTGGACAGAGATCTGGATCTGGACTGGCTGCTTGCCCGTTACAATGAGTCACGGCTGTCCACCTCAGTTGCAGCAGAACGACTGTTTCAACGGTAGTTGCGGTGCGCAGGCTGGCTCACACCCTCGTCGGCGTTCGCAGGTATCGTATGCTGACTACGACGCTCATATTCCGCGTGGCGCTTTCTTCGCCACCCTCGCACAATAAAAGGAAGCTGAAAGCTTTGCTGGCAACATTTATCAGTCGTGGCGTGTGGACCACCACAGAATCCACAGGCGGGGAACATTGATGGTTCTCATCAGGGTTGTTGATTCCGCACCACTTGCACACAGCTTCGTCCAGAGTCGGACAGACGTCCGCCCTGTGCCCCAGTCTGCCACAGGCGTAGCAGCAGTCATGCTGCCGATGGTAAAGCGAGCATCTGACCAGCGCCATGCCGAAATAAATGAAGTTGGAAACTGTGTAGCCATCGGGGACAATAACCACCGCTTCAGTGTTCTTAATACGTCTCACTCCCAGAGCTGAGAGGTTTCATTCAGTGAGCATGCTCCTCTCCAGCTCCGTGTGGCTTTCGATGCGTCAATCTTACGGATGACCCCCTTGCACGTCTCATGCGGGGAAGCCTCGTAAGTGTTGATGTCATACTTCTCATTCCCAATGTAAGTCAGCTCATCCTGAGGTAGGAGTCAGCGTTCGCCCGGGACTCCATGCTAATAACTATATTATTTTGCGTTGCATTCGGGCAGACGATATCCTGACCGAGGAGCGTGGGTGCAATTCCAGCTGCCTCTGCGATTGCCCGGCCAAGTATAGCTGAGCCGGCTTCTCACGGTCCAAGCCACACCTTGGACGAAACGACAATCCTTCCAGTGCTCGCTCGGCAATCGAGGCATTCTCGATGATTTGATAACTTCATTCTTCAAGTTTAGACCTTTTCTTGTAGCACTGAAATGGCCCCTGGCGTTCCCGCCGCACGCAGTGCACGCTCTGTAGCACTGGCATTCGTGCGCCTCGAGCTTTTCTTCACCGCAGTGGAGCGCCAGCCGTGTTTTTCTCCAAACTCTTCCGGAGGGAGGTCATCGCCGTCCATAATAACAGCGGCGCCGTCCAGCATATTGGCTCAGCAGGTGGAACGAAGGGTGCGCCCAAGAAGGGCGCGTCCTGCCCAGCAGACGCCAACTCGGCGTTGTGTTTGATCGGCCAAGCACGCGAGGCGTAGTCGGTGGTGTAAAGTCATGAGAAATGCTCAAAAATGGACTTACCTGCTGAACGCCTGCTACCGACGTGAACCTTGGCAGCTTATGCGTCGACTAGTAGCAGGATCCTGAGGCACAGCACACAAAAACCGCAAGAATTGTTTGCTAAAGCGGGAGCGCAAAGACCCCCGACTGCTCCGCTCTACGCCACCTGGTGTCCGGCTGGTTGGTAAGATAGTAACAATTCACAAGAGGAAGGGGGGGGGGGGTAACACACAATCTCTTAAATATCTGCCCGATATCACTCTAATCTGTCCTGTGCAAAATACTTGAACGTATCATTTTCCCTCCCCTTGTTAACTTTCTCGAGTGTAACTGCTTTGTCAGTCCCTCCCAGTATGGCTTCCGTAAAACTTTCTCCTAAGCTCTTAGTCTTTACTAACGACCTGCATATCTTACTCGATTCTGGATTTACCATTGACTGCACGTTTTTAGATTATTCGAAAGCGTTTGACAAGTTTAGTCATCAGGTGCAACTTCTTACGCTGAAACATTTAAATCTAGATCACAACGTGCTTAACTGGATGAGAGCCTTTCTTTCTACCCGAACACAGTTTGTTTGTGCTAACAATGTTTACTCCAAAGGTATGCCTATTCCCTGATGACTGCGTGATTTCTTGGAAAATAAATAACCAAGACGACGTTGCCTCACTTCAGACGGATCTAAATGCCATATTTACCTGGTGCCAATTATAGAACTTGGAACTTGACATTTCAAAATGCAAAGCAATGCGCGTGTGCCACACTTCACTTGCTTGACCACTGTAGTATCTTAACAATACCTACCTCGAGGCTGTTTCATCTTACAAATATCTAGGTTTTCATATTTCCAATAACCTGACATGGAACCGTCATCTGAAGTACATAATCGCCAAGGTTAAGCGTCTATTCGGCTTTTTTTTCGAAGAAACTCCTTCTACATGGCACCTTCATCCCTTAAGAAGCTTCTTTACAGTATCTACATTCGTCGATCACTTGAATACGCATGATCCATCTGGGATCCTGGTGGCATTAAACTAACACATGAACTGGAAGCAGTTCAGAATTGTTCAGTTTGCACTATCTTGTCCAATCATAACCGCGTGGCCAGTGTTACACTAATGAAGTCTCAGCTCAACCTTTCTGAACTCGCCATTCGGCGTAAAATAGCCCGGCTCAGTTTCTTCCATTAGCGTATGATTATAACAATAACATTCGCGAACATCTTGTTAAATAGCCCCTTATTTATATCACCCAGAATCGACCATCTACAAAAAGTTCGTATTTTTCAAAGCAGAACCATTACCTATTCGCGCGTTTTCATACCAAGAACTACATCTCAATAGAGTCTACTCCCACTTTCAGCTACTACTATCACCGACACATCACCTTTTAAGGTTCTTTTACAAAGCATGTTTGGCGCTGCTTGATTTTTCCTTCGTGTTATATATGTCATGTCTTCTTTGTTTTTCTCTTCGGGTAGTGTCCTGTTCTTCGCTTAGCTCTTGAACATGTACTACCTGCATTATAGCTACTGCGACGGTGTTTTTGTTGAAGTAGTTTCTATGCCATCTATTTCTGTGTAATTCTGTCAAATTTGAAGTTTTGTTCTTGTATATATTTATCAAGTGTTGTTTCCTATTTTGACATGTAACGTGCCCCTACCCTTTGTAAAGTGAAAACCCTGAGGGTAAATAAATAAATAATTAAATAAATAAATAAATAAATAAATGATGTCTTCGCAAACCCTCTTTATACAAGGGACTGTGCAGCTAAAAGACTTTGAAGAACAACTTCTGTTTCAGCCGCACTGGTATCCAGAGTTCATGAAGAGCACTGCCCTTTTAGACACAGTGTTGTATAGGGTTTGTTATATAATGCCTATTTGTCGAAGCGGCCTCAGGTGTTATGCATATTCGTAAAGCACATTCATAGTAAATATCATGTAAGAGAAAAAAGAGGAGACGCGTGACTGTGTGGCAGCTTGTCCCGCACATGGCCTCGGTTCGATCTTCACTCAGACCCGCAATGTTCGTTATTTTGTTGGAATCTTTCGCAATTTTTCGGTCATGGACAAGGTGATTTTTTGTTTACAACTAACGACGCTGATGCCGGAATTTCTGCGAAAGAGCTCTTTAACGCTATCGCGGTACTATCATTAAAGGTAAGCAGCTGTTTTCATCAGTTCGCACTGATTAAACAAAAGTTCGTGATCGAACGAAATAACCCAATTTATTTCTGTTGTACACAATGCTTCATCGCACTACCCTACTAATCGCATTGCATGCTCACTGTTGGGTCCAGACGGACCAACGACTGCCTGGTATTCTTGTGATTTAAGTGCTATATTGTTTATCACTTTTTTTCAGGGTACCAGGTTCGCCCCATAAAAAGTTTAATCACGATTCATTGTTCGAAGTTATTTCATTCTTCGCCATCGTTACGACGTGATATTATTTTGCTCTAGATCTATGAAACGATGCGTTTAAAGGGCCGGAAAGCTGTCCCAAAACATTAGGACGAAGTGTACAGGCAAGTTCGTGGACACACCATCAATCAAGTCGTGCGTCATGTCACTTGCGAAGGTTTCACAGAATAAACTACCTAAACTTTTTTTGTACCATCGGTCAAGGCACCTGTCTCTTGAGACTCATGATTTCATCTGCAGGGTGTCCCAAAATCACGTAGTACGACTTTTAAAAAATAAGAGCATTGTTACGCGGAGCACACTAGGTGTATACTGTTCCCTGTAGTAGACACTAACTGTTTGGCTAGTACTTAGACCATATTACGTTTCTAAATCGTCAAATGCTCATTAATCATTAAACTGTCTTCGGGGCCATATGACAGCATAATGAAATAACATCTAACTGCGTTATTCTCAAGAGGTACTGATTTTTTTTTGCTAATAAAGAACGCACGCGAAATATGAAAAATGTCACGCGACAAGACTACAGTCGAAGAGGATAACAGTCAGGTAGCGATTCCAGACCTATTTTGGGCGAGAGCGTTGGCCAGTGTTATTTTTCATATTTCTTGTGCTTTCTTCATCGGGCGGAAACTAAATGAGCACGTAATTAGTACGTCACTGAAAATAACAGTCAGATGTCTTTCGAACATGCTGTAAATTCCTAATTGACATGTTAATAATTAGGTGAGCACTTCTTGAGTTGGAAAATAATTAAGACTGTTTATTTAAATCTCATTAACGAAACATTTAGTAGTGTCTACTACAGTACACTGAGAATAATACGCACGGTGTGTTTTTTTTTTTCAAGTCATGCTGCATGATATTAGCGACCACAGAACTCGAGTCTATTGAGAATCGATGAATTGGCGCAGACGCTCACGCGGCTGCTGAGATATGCAAATACACAAAGAGATTGCATGCATTATCAGGACCTTAACGTCAGTGTGGATGAGATACATACATATTTCGGTGAAGAGGTTCTTGATTGACAGGAACGCCTTTTTCATGAGAGCTCCAAAGTCCAGAAGAAGCCTTACGACTTTCTTCACGCGGTCATACACAGCTGCGAAAACGAGGCAAACAAAAGCGTGATAACCAATTACCTTCAAGCATTTGCTACTGCTCTTATACAAACGCGTTACACATGGTACACCACGTCTAAGAAGAACACATTCGAGCCGTTAAAAGCTATAGCATTCTTCCTATTGAACACGCACCCATTATATGACGACTAATCCAGATTCTGATAAATACGACAATAACTTCCAGAATTACATAGTAAAAATCAGCTGCTGCAAAGCCTTTAATACTATCGGAGCGCATCGAAAGTGCACTGGAGCTCCCTCTCCATGGCCTTCATTACGGCCGGTCGTGTCCCGTGTAAAGGCGCGTCTCGACGCCTGGTGTGCTTCGCCTGTGTAAATATTGTTACGTTTAGCAATGTGTTCGTTCCACTGTGGCCAACCGGTAGACTTGAAGGTGTCGTGCACGAGAGGCTTATCTCAATAGCCGTACGTCGTCTTCTCTAATCTGCCTGTTCCCCCCCTACCTCGAGGCTCATATACTCAGATTAGGCCCGTGTACTCCGTGTACTAGGCCCGTGTACTAGGCCCGTGTAGTAGGCCCGTGTACTCAGATTTGGGTGCACGTTAAAGAACCCCAGGTGGTCGAAATTTCCGGAGCCCTCCACTACGGCGTCTCTCATAATCAAATGGTGGTTTTGGGACGTTAAACCCCACAAATCAATCAATCAATCATATCCAAATCACATATGCAGCAACATTTCCCTCCGCGCAGACGATGCACACCGGGCGAGTTAAAGAGTCTCTCTGGGAATATAGCACTTTTAAACGTGCTATATAAACAAGTTCAGTCTTTGCAGAATGTCAGCCATTAGAATGAAGACGTGCTACGCGATAAGTTAAATCGTTTATACGATCTAGAACAGCATAAGGCCCCGCATAGTGCACCAGCAATTTTTCACACAACCCACGTTTCCTATTTGGCGCTCACAGCAACACGAGGCCTCCGCGATTATACGTCACGTGTCGACGTTGATGGTTCAAACGTGTCTTCGAGCGATCTGGCAAAGCGGGGTTGCGCAGGTAAGCAAGACGTCGGGCTTCTTCTGCACGTCAGACGATCTCAGATATACCGGAATCATGGTGGTCCAAAAACGGGAAGCTGGTATCCAGGGAGGCGGCCGAGCATACAGAAGAAAGAACGGACTGTAGCTGGTAATTTCATGCTGTGCGGTGTTAAATGCGTAAGTTATGAAAGGTGGCACGGCGTACCAGTTCTTGTGATCTGCTGGGACATACATGAATAGCAAGTTCGTGAGAGTCCTGTTAGTTCATTCCATCAAGCCGTTTGTTTGGGGATGATATGGCGTGGAGTGCCGAAAGCTTGAAGCGCAGAGACGAAGCATCTCTTCCACCACGTCTGCAGTGAATTGTCGCCCATGATCACTGATAACAATTTTAGGTGGTCCACGTCGTAGAACCACAAAACGCAGCATAAACACACGTCAGCTGCAGTTTCCGATGGTATAGCAGCCGTCTCGTAGTACCGTGTTAAGTGACCGGTACATACGACCATCCAGCGATTGCCAATAGAAGACCTCAGAAAGGGCCCTAGAAACTCAATCCCAACTTGCTCGAATGGAGTTCCAAGGGGTGGAATAGGATGTAGTCGCCCTGGAGGAGCACTGGTAGGGCGCTTGCGGCATTGGCACTCGTTGCAACTGAGACGTACTGTTCCGTTTTCTGGCACATTTTCGGCCAGTAAAATCTTTCTTGAAGCCGGCAAAGAGTTTTCGTTGTGCCTATATAGCAGAAAACGAAAGTAATGTACAACAACCTCGAAAAAAAGCAGCCCTTCGAGATAGGTAATAATGCACTTCAACTTGTAAAAGATTATGTCTACTTAGGGCAGGTAATAACCGTGGAGCCAAACCACGAGATTGAAGTAACTAGAAGAATAAGAATGGGGTGGAGCACATTTGGCAAGCACTCTCAAATTATGACAGGTAGATTTCCACTATCCCTCAAGAGGAAGGTATATAACAGCTGTATCTTGCCGGTACTTAGCTATGGAGCAGAACCCTGGAGACTTACAAAGAGGATTCAGCTTAAGTTGAGGACGACGCAGCGAGCAATGGAAAGAAAAATGGTAGGTGTAACCTTAAGAGACAAGAAGAGAGCACAGTGGATTACACAACAAAACGGGGTTTAGGGATATCATAGCTGAAATCAAGAAGAGGAAATGGACATGGGCCGGGCATGTAGCGCGTAGACAGGATAACCGCTGGTCGTTAAGGGTAAATGACTGGATTCCCAGAGAAGGCAAGCGGATTAGAGGGAGACAGAATGCTAGGTGGGCAGATGTGATTGAGAAGTTTGCGGGTATAAATTGGCAGCAAGGACCAGGTTAACTGGCGGAACATGGGAGAGGCCTTTGTCCCGCAGTGGACGTAGTCATGATGATGATGATGATGATGATGATGATGATGATGATGATGATATAGCCGGTCATTGGGTCATCATGCATAGCCTGCAAGACGGAAACGAGAAGACTCTTCGGAACCACGAGAAGATATCGTGAGCCGGTTGTAGCATAGTTCTTTTTCTACACAAGCCCGTCGCGCATACAGAAGCGAGTCGCCGATGATCTTGGCTTGGTAGAAAAGAGCTTCTGTATGATGCGGTCCCTTTGCTGTTCAATCTTAACGGTATTGGTATCAGGAAATGGCAGGCCCGACGGCGCGATGTAGGTGTCGAAGTTGCCCGCGTCACAGTCCGTCGATGGAAGCGGCATTCGCGAAAGATAATTTGCATCAGCGTGATGACGACCACTTTTATAGGAAACCGTAAAGTCGTATTTCTGCAGACGGAGTGCCCAACGCGCTGGTCGACCAGATGGGTCACGCAGATTGACCAACCAGCAGAGCGAATGATGATCTGTCATTATGGTAAAGGGGTGTCCGTACAGGTAGGACCAGAAGTGCTGCACTGCGAAGACTACTGGGAAGCATTCTTGCTCTGTGATGGTGTACTTACGCTCGGATTTGCTTGGCTAGCGACTTGCATACGCAACGACACGTTCTTTGGTATCCAAGCCATGAACCAGCACGGCGCCTACACCAACACCGCTAGCGTCTGCGTGAAGTTCAGTGGGAGCCAGAGGATCGACGTGTTGAAGAATTGGATGGGATGTCAAAAGTAACTTCAACTCGGAAAAAGTGGACGCACATTCTGGAGTCCAGTCAAACGGCACACCTTTCTGAAACAGGCACGTGAGTGGGTGCGCGATATTGGCTAATCCAGGAATGAATCGACGGAAGTATGAGCAGAGGCCCAAAAAGCTGCGTTGTTCTTTCGCTGAGTGAGGTCGCTTTAACACCTCCACTGCAGCCGTCTTTGCGGGATCCGGCCGTATGCCTTCTTTGTTCAACAAGTGTCCAAAAACGAGTGTTTGGCGCTTTCCGAAACGACATTTCTTTGAGTTGAGCATCAAGCGTGCTTTGCTTAGGTAGTTCAGCACAAGGTCGAGGCGTGTGTTGTGCTCACAGAAAGTGCGCCCGAAAATCACCACATCGTCCAGATAACACATGCATACTTGCCACTTCAAACCACGCACAATGCTGTCCATGAAGCGCTCAGAAGTTGCAGGCGTTGCAGGCGCATTGCGTAGTACAAATGACATCACATTGAAGTAAAAAAGTCCATCTGGTGTAACAAATGCCGTTTTCTCTTTGTTTTCTTTGTGCATTAAAATTTGCCAATACCCTGACCTCAAATATACAAACGAAAAGTATGAGTCTGATGAAGGACAGTCTATAGCACCATCAACACGTGGTAGTGGGTATACGTCCTTCTTTGTGATGGCGTTGAAACGGCGGTAGTCACCGCAAAATCACCATGTTTCATTTTTTTCTTCTTTACCAATATTACGGGAGCGGCCCCCGGACTGCGTGACTCCTGAATCACATTCTTCTATAGCATCTCGCCAACCTGTTCATTTATCACTGCGCGTTCCGATGGCGATACCCGGTATGGCTTTTGTCGGAGAGGTGTATGGTATGCCGTATCTATGCGGTGCTTTACACGAGAAGCAGAGAATGACAGTGGAGCCTATAGCTGTGCGAAATCGAAAAGACCAGCATGATTGCGCAGAACACTCGCCAGGTCATTACGTTCGTTGGTGCTAAGAGACTTGTCAATCATTGCCATTATGGAGGTGTCCCTGGCGCGCAGATGATCGGAATCGGGCTTATTCGGAAAATCGCTGCTCTCTTCAAGGATGGCAAGAGAGAACGCTTGATGTTGACGGATATTAGCAAGTTGTAGACCCTCTAGCACTACCGAAGGTTCATTGGAACCATTGATCCCTCACAAACCAGTACGTCCTTGCACAACCAACAACGTACAATAGGATATTAGGACGTTTTTCTTTATGCGGCTGAGGTGATTGGGCTCTATGGTGGCATTAAATGTCGTCTCAGTTGCAGGGGAACTGACGTCAGGAACACACTTGGCAGACAAGGGCAGTACAGTTGGGTCCATGGACACGCGAAGGGTGTTTTCCATAAACGTTACTGGAACATTTTAATCTACTGTAATCTCTCCTGTGCAGCAATCGACAGTGGCACCACAAATATTCAGGAAATCGAGCCCTAGAATTACACCATGTGTTGAAAAAAAAGAGAACAGCAAAATCAGAAATAAAATTCTGGCCCCCCAAACTAAGAGTCACTGTGCACATACCAACAGGTTCTAAAACATCTCCGCTCCCTCCACAAAACGAATCAGCATGGTCCCAACGGAACATAACCTTTCGTCCAAGTAGGAATTTGAATGCTAGACTCATCCCTGATATGGCTGCACCTGAGTGTACTCAGGTCGTTGTTAAGACACCGTCGATTAGCACATGAACCTTATTTCTAAACATGCAAATTAAAGGAAGAATTTCTGTGGAAATCGAAGACTGTCCAGTGACCTCACCTCCAACGATCACTCCGACTAGTTTTCCGGAGGCGGCGAAGGGTAGCGGCGCCTAGGAGAT